CAATTTTTCAAAATCGTGCTCTCCATTTTTTCAAAATCGTGCTCTCAAAATGTTCAAAATTTGGAAACTTGGTACTAGAAAGATTGGACCCATGGGGAAACATCAAATATTACGATGTGCAAAGTTTGCATAATTACAGATATTAACTTGTATTAAAATTTAATATCTGAATATTATAAATCTGTATCCAAAATAGCCCTAGTATTGTTCTGAGGCCACAAACATGATTACTTATCTAGATTATCCTCTCTGATATATATTATATTTTTTCAATCACATTACAAATGAATTTCCTAAACCAATAACTGTTTATCTCCACGTCCATACCACCATAACAAAAATCCAGTTCAATGACATTCTAAATTCGTGCAACTTGTTTTAAATTTCTCAATTTATTTTAGTTGTTATTGTTATAGTTATGGGTTGCTTGGTGTGTAGTAGTTTCAATTTTTTGTTTTTCTTTTTCTTGAAAACTTTAAAGTGGGAAGTTTTAAATTGAATTTAAACGCAATGATGGTTATGGATGATGTTTTTCATACTTGTACGCTGTTGGTGATGTTATTTCCACACTCAAGTAACAAAAAAAACCAAACCAAACAAATGAAAGAACAGAGATAAATTGTTTTAGCTCCACACACACACACACACACACACATCACATGACAGATACGACAACAACAACAACACCAACTTCAATTCATTTGCCGCCATCTCAGCCTCGCTAAAGCCTTTTTTTAGAAAAAAAGTTTGGCAGTGGCAATAAAATAAAATCAAATTTAACTACAAACATCGACAGACAATTCGTTTCGAGTTTGTTTGTTGTTTAATTTTATTTCCATTAGTGCAACAACAACAGCAACACCAATCATTTGAGTAGTAGAGTAATACACTTTTTTTATGAGTTTCCACTTACCGAGATTCCAATTCATCGATATGGGGAGCCCATCAATTGCATTTAACTGGCTGTCGGGTTGATCGGTTTGTTGGTGGTTGGTTGGTGTTAGTCAAAATAGTAGGCTGGTTAGATCGCTAAATAGGTGGGTAGGTAGTAGAGGCTTATGCTGGGGCTGAAATTGCTAGGCCATTGAACATATGAGCTGGAAGCAAGTATGCAACAGCAGCGGCGTCTAGCCATTTGACGACGATCTTGTCGCCTACTTAACCCCAAAAACTCAAAGCAAAGGCAGTTAAACTTGCATTAGACTCTATCCATTAATTTCCATTTTAAGGCAATTTTCCATTGACTCGTCAGTGTGTGTGTGTGTGCGTCTGCGAGCGAGTGCTTTTATTTGTTTTTGTTTGGTTTTATTTATTTTGGTTAATATAAAATTGTTTACATTAAATTGCCTATTCTATCGATTGATTCCTACAATAGATACTACAATCGATTGACCGACCGATCGATTGTTCGTTCATTGATTGGTCTATGATTTATTGGGTGGCTTATATCGACATATCTTAACATAAGGCGGCTTGTTGTTGTTATAGATTAAATTACAGCAAAATAAACAAAGGCAAACTAGACAATTTTAAGATCATATAGAATGGGCGAAAGTTCAATGACTTATTTGGGAAATGGTAAGAAATAATGGTTCGAGCGATATATCTAAAGAACCACAAAATTCCTCTGAGAATACAAATGTATACAAATAGAACGGACATTGAAACAACATAGTAAAAATATCAAATCTAGGTGGTAATCTTTTAAAACCAATCTCCTAAATTTGAATTCCGATTACAAATTCTTTTCGGACAAATCTAACTAGTTTGGTATTGAAAGTGTGTATTCCCTATATAACGGTATTCCCAATATTCGGTAGTTGGTAGATTTGGGGAAGTAGCTTTTTGAACGTAATCATCTGAAAATGTTGGTTAAAGATCTCAACATTTGTCGTTTTAGAGACTATATAATTTGACCTACTAAGTTTCGATATTTTATGCATATTTTGGATTATCATTGGAAAGAAAATCTTCTCCCTACCACAAAATATGAATATTGATCAATGTTTATTATTCTGTATATTAGTGACTTTAGGCTCATTTCAACCGAATTGGCTCAATTTTGACATCTTTGAGGTTTTAGAAGTATTTTTCCATCGAAGTGGCGGTAAATTGAAATTTTGGATGTAGTAGCATGTTTCGGAATTTTCGGTTCATGATTTTTATAAACACTACCACACAAAGGCACCTCCAAATTTTGACTGTAATCTGTTACTGTTTTCAAATTACTACAATTTTTGCCGAGGGCTCTGATATCAGAATTCTATCCGAATTCTCTACCTTTTTTCGAGTAATCTGCAGTAATTGTATTTAAACTTTTAAAAAAGTGTCCGAAAATCTCTATACTTTTTTGTCAATTTTCGAATGTTTCTTTAGAGTTTTATCCGAAAGTGTGCATAAAATCGAAAATGTCGCTATTTCTTCCGAATTTTTTTAGAATGTGTTAAGAGACTCGAATGTTCTTTCCGATTGTGCGAAGGTGCACAATTTTGTTTCGATTTCGGCATCGGAATCGGAAGCTAGTACAGAGTTTCGTTCCGAATTCGGAACAAATTGTTAGCTGGGTACCTACCAGCAATAACAACTTCCCGACTATTTTTGAATGCACCCCAGATGGTGGAAGGAATAAAAAATATATATATTTTAAAATCTATCATTTTATCATTTCCAGTTTTTTTCTTGATATTTTCCCTCAGCATTTAGTGACCTTTTCCATGACACTAATTTTCTGTATTTTTTCACAAAATCAATATTTTAATATTCATTAATTTCTCAATATTTTTCATTCGAACCTTGATTGAATCTAACCATGTTCCAATTAAAATCCAATACCATGTTTATGTTAAAAGCTTAAAAATGCTACTTAGGTTTCACACAAAGCTTACAAGAAGAAGAACAACAACAAAACGAAGAAGAACTTGCATTTCAATGTCACAGCTAATTATGGGTTTGTGGGTCTGCCTTTTACAGTTGAATGAAAATTTGAATGGGCGGTTGGCGGTGTTGGCCCATCACAAAATTTCAATTTGTGGTTGACATTTTGTTTTTTGGTACATTTGTCATATTTATTTAATTACAACATTACACAAATACAAATATACCTTACATACATACATGATCTACAATAAAATATTCTTCTAACCGTGTACCATTAGTACTTGCAACTTGTCATTTGTTCGTGCGAATTTTTAATTAGCTATGTCTGTCTGTATGTATGATGAAAACTACTATATGCATAAATATTTGATTACTATTGTTGTTGTCAGTTGGTGTGTGTATGGTTGCCAAGCAGGTCACCCCCACCCACCAACAATGCCACATTTTCATCACCGGGCAACCATCAATGTTTTCCGAACAAAAGCTCACCTGTGTGAGCGTGCGTTTGTGTAAGTGTACGACGTGTTTTCCAATCGTAATGACAATTCTGTTTTGTATAATTTTATTGTCATTATTTCCAGCAACAGCTGCACCAGAGCACCATCAGCAGTGACAGTAATTTGTTATTTTAAGGGTTACATACAAACATACAGCCATACAAATGTACACGGACGATCATTGTTCTGTGACAAGTTGTTCATGGTAGATTATTTTGGTTTCACAAAACAAAACCGAAATAAAAACTAAAAAAATGAAATAAACAACATTTTCCGTTAATAAAATAAAATCACCCAGGCAACCCATTCGTCGATACCAACGATGTCACTGCGTGCCACTGTTATTGTTTGTTTATGGTGGCACACCACATGCCAGCACGGTGACGTTGAACTTATCTAGCATTTAAGAATTAGATCACTTTCTATGTTATATCTAAAACAACACAATGGTGTATAACAGCACTCTTTCCACTCCCTAGAACATGGGCCAATGCACCATAACAATAACAATGAGTTATGGGGTCTATTTACCAAAGGGTCATTTGGATTTTTTATAATTAATCTGATATTCTCTCACGTTCTCTTTGATATAACATTGCTTAAATTCATTATCAATTTCTCGAGAGATGGCTTTTTTTCATTATTTTCCCATGACCAATGAATCAAGTTTCGCCACCACAATGTCTATTGTGGCGACTGCTGCTGCTGGGCCTCACTTGTCCGCAGATCTCATTAACATTTCAAATTGTTTCAAAATTGTGAGACACAACGCCATAGGCGTACATACCGTCCACCCAACAGCGTCTAAACGAACAAGCTAGCGAACAACTTAAGGTTATTCAGCAATTAAGATATTGCAATTTTTGTGTGTGTAATTATGTCGGGATAGCGAGACACGTTCAATTGCCGGCGTTGTGTCCCCTCCAATATGACTAACAGCCAAGACAAAGTTTACTATTCGAAGCTGCTTATAATTTGTATTTATCGTATAGCTAGTTTGAGGGCAAACTACCGAAGAAAAAATTTTGTAAATCTTTGTAGGCGTCCAATGTTGTTGATAAAGTTTCTGCGATATCCATCCATGTCATTGCTGTAGGAGACAAGTGAACTTATAAACATTTGTTGTTGTCGTCGTTGTTGTGACTATGATATCATTACTATAATAGTTTTAAATGAACAATTAACGTTTCATACCTTATTGAATGGAAGCTAAGATGGTAGGTAGACATTGACTGATTGACAACCATTTATAGAAAAATTAACCCTATCGATGGCAATGGGGTCACCCGGTATCCAGTGACACATTTTGAAAACAAGTAAGGAATTTTCCATGACCATCTAACCAAATACACCACCAAATTATAAGGATAGCAAATTATTTTCAATTTCAGTTATTTAAATTTTAATTTCTGGAAAAGGACAGTTCTGATCTCCATTCTCCTAGCAGTGTTAAATCAAAAAAATCTCATTACTCACTCACGTACAACAAACTGTAATCATTCATTCTAATTGATTATCAAATCGGTTTCTAAACATTTCAACACTGTCATTAACATCGCCTCTTTTCTTTATTTTTTTTTTTTTTTTCCAGAATGAAACCCATGATTTGGGACAACGTGGCAACAACAACATTAACTACAATAACAATTCTACGCACAATATTCTCGCCAAAGGTATAACAACAGCTGGCACTGTACGTAGTGTCATGGACTGTATGCCTTTAAGTGTGGGCGTGGGTACACACCATCCACACTTGATGGCCTCCAGCAATACAGTGAATGTAACTGTAGCATCACCCACGGCCATTGTTGCGGCTGCCTATCCCCATCATCATCACATGAACCTCAATCATCATCATTTGCTGGGTAATCACCCGTTACCCTACGCCAGTGGCTATGGCGGTCTTACGAACCATCACCACCACTCCAGTTCGGGCCCAACAGTGGCGAATAGTCATCATCATCACCACCAGCATCATATCCACAGTGAACAGACCAAATCGTTGCAGGAACTGCAGCATGAAGTTGGGGCACTACTGGAATTCCGTGATCTAGTTATAGAAACATTTCCCGATCTCAAGCATAAAATGGCGTCAATATCATCGGCAGCGTCGAATGTCTCTTCGACGGCTGGTGGTGGTGGTAGTGGCAGTGGTGGACTAAGCGGTAACCAGCCGGGTAGTGTGAGTGGTTCAGCATCCACGACCACGCTGACCAGTGGCTGTACATTAGTGTCGCGCAGAGAATGGGAACCGGGCATCAGGGTTAAGAGGAAAATCTCTCAGAAGGAAACAAATCATCCCTCCGCAACAGACTTGACTTCATCATCACTGACCAGGAGTCGCAGTAATTCGCATAGCGGGAAAAAAGAGCCAAAGAATAGTTCAGGTGGCGTGGTGGGTAGCAGCAGCAGTGCTGCCAGTGGGGAAAACAACAACGGTAGTGTAGTCCAAGATTCAGGATTCTCAACAGAGACTAGTTCTTCAAAGGAGGGCCACAGCGCCTCCTCAACAAATGGTGCTCTAACGGTAAGCAGTCATCAATCTCAATATAGTTGGAAATTATTTATATCACGTTCTTTTCATTACAGGGCACCATTGCTTCAAATCGTTTGTCTTGTCCCGAATCAGATGATGAGCTTTTAAATTTACTGGATGTCATACACCGCAAATCGACTCGCTTACGCGAAGAAGTCGAACATTTGCAAAACTATGAACGCCAACATTTGAGACCGAGTGCCAGCGCTGACGATCACACCGAAGAAACGGCGACTGGTACAATTGAGGGTGCCACAGGCGGCATCTCCAAGTCCAGCAGCAGTAGTGCCAATACAGCTTTAACACCAAAAACCTTCCGCGAACATGTAGAACGTCTAAATAAAGAGGACATACTGCAGTTGCGCCGGGAACGTGATCGACTGCTGGACAAATTGGCCGAAATGGAGGCTGAAACATTAACGGGCCGTATAAAGGCCACCAAAATGAGTGAGCAAGTAGAGGAGCTTATTAAGGTGAAAAAAGACTTGGAGGAACAATTGAAGTTGGCAATGGCACAAAGACTAGAGTTAAACTCTAGAGTGCAACAACTACAACAGCAACAAAACAGAGGTTCCAATAGGTAGGTGTTTTCTAAAGACAGATTCCTGGAGTCTAGATTTTTATTAAACGCTAAACCCCATTTCAATTTCAGCCAATCGGACTACTCAAGTTCGAGAACTTTTCTCTCCTCTTCGGCTACGACGGTTTTGTCAACCGTCAGTGCAACATCGTCCAGACAAAATACATTCCAACCTGTGGTCGTGGAACAACAGCATACAAACTCTTCGTCAAACGAACCGTTAGCATTCCATCAAAGCCCTGGCAGTGATAATAACAAAAAACACAGTAACCAACAGTCGACGTCATCACAGCAAACGTTTGCTGTGGAACAGTTGGGACGCCTGGATGGCATTGTTAGCTCACCGGGAGAAATTAAGTGTCGTTCGACAGATTCGAAACGATTTGCTGCTATACTCCTGGAGACAAGTGTTATAGAATTGCAAAGACATTTATTAACATTGACTGTTAAGAATCAGGTAGGGTATTTTAATGGAATTAAAAAGGCCTATTTTTACATTTTATTCACCACCATTATTGCAGATATTAATGCAAAAACTGGAGGCTGCCTCAAAAGCAAAATGTCATTTAGTCAAACGTTTAGACAAATCCAAAGATGATGTAGAGGACTTAAGGTTTCAGGTTTGTGCGACAATTTCGCAAAATTTGAATTCCACTAAACGTAAATTTATGTTTACAGCTTGAGGAGAAGAGCATAGAACTGGAAGGAACTAAGGCCCAACTACGTGTCTTAGAATCTAGACTGCATTCGATTACGCCCAGCAGCGGTGCTGCCACCAATTCCTATTTACACTCGCAAAACGATTATGAAACAAATCGTTCATCGGCCTCCACTACTCTAATGCTAAGCAGGCGTGGTGGCAGTGGCCTGGCCATGGAGTCTCCTAACGATATTCGCTCTTCAACGCCAACTCAGCAGCAGCTGCATAATGGACAAATGCCTCAGCCCATTACAACGCAAATTTCAACACCCAGTATGAAAGCTATGACACATTTGCCCATGGACGATATGCAACATCACAGTAGTAGCACAGAATCAGCTCATGAGCATGATTCGCAGCATCCGCAGAAGGAAAATGATGTGATGAGCAGTAGCCAAATGGCGGCAAGTAAAATGGAGAATGGTCGTGAAATGCGTCAAATTTTAATGAGTACCAGTGTGGGTGGGGTCAGTCCATTCGAACAACAGCTGCAGCAGCAACATGTGACGGCGATAAGAAATCAAGTACAAGCTCTAAAGAAATTTAGTGGTGTTACCGCTACAAAACCAAGTAAAATACCATTGCCTGGTAGTAAGGCGGCTGCCTATTTTGCGGGTAAGTTTGATCAAAGAATGTGACTGTTGTTCTAGGAAAATTAAAAATTATCTCTTCATTATATGCATAAAAAATTAATCATTTATATTTTGAAACAGGGAAACCTCCATCTGGCAGACCTTCAACCGCTGGTCGTTCACCACCATCTGCCAACTCTTCAGGTTCTTCGCAAAGTCGTTCGCCTTTAAGCCGCAGCACGGGTAATCTCTTGTATTCCAAATCGCCAAATAGCTTAAAGCGAGCAGATTCAGCACAAAGTATACGCAAAGATGTATCATCGTCATTTAGCACGAACACAAGTCGTTCGTCCACTTCGTCTTCGATACCATTGGCCACAACACCCTATGGTTCAGCTTCCAAATCGTATGGAGGTGGTTCAACGACAACAACAGGAAATAATAATACAACTACTTTAAATAGTCCGTCCTCAAGAATTTTACAAAATTCACCATTACCAAAACCAAAAAGAGAATCACTATCGACAAAAGTCAGGCATATGGATTCTCTGTCGCGTGCTCATAACCACAGCCATCAGCATCAGTCTCACAATTATTCCAATGGAAGTAATACTAGTGATAATACTCCGACAACAGCAACGACGGTGGCCACATCACCTGTGCCAACCGGTAGTTATTTGGTTAGCAGTACACCGAAACCCTCATCTATAGCAGCTCAATTGACCACCTCATTGCGCAAAGATTTGCAATTGAGTACGAATAATTTCTCGGCTAACCAAGCTCCACCTCCCTTCCAAAGAAGAGCTACCGGCGGTGGACTTAGCAGCAACAGCAGTAACAACAGCAATCCCGTGGCTACACGACGCTTTAGCAGCGCCTCTGTAATGGGAGCCCGTGCCGCTCGTCAAGCTGAAAATGATTTACACCACAGCAATATAAGCGGCAACAGTGTTGCAGGCGTAACATCAAATTCCACGTCCTCCCATGGCAGCGGCGGCATTGGTGGTGGTAATGGCGGCACTGCCAGTGATAGCGATAGTGGCAAGGTACGCACTTTAAAATCAACATTTTTGGGTTGGCTTAATAAAAATCTAACATAAACATACATTACAAACTCTACATATGAATAATATGAAACATAACATAATACTATCTATGTATCTGTCTTTCTCTATGTCTCTCTATATACATATATGAAAACACACATATTTACACAAAACACATATATGGAGAACTAAAAGAAAAACAAAGAAAATCAAAACAATGCAAAAAAAAAAATAAATGAAAAGCTAAAATGTCTGTTTACCCTCGTTTAATCCTCCAATATCAGAGTCGTTCAATCATGCATATATATTTTTTCATAAGCTTCATACTTATTACATATATAGTAGTACATATATATATATATATATATATATATATAATGCGATATATACTATAGAAGAACAACATACCAATGGGTCAATTTTGTTAATGACATACCCTTCATCAGATACACTTTCCACACAAAAATATGTATTTCTGTGTCCTGTTTTGTTTGTGTCCATCGTAATCAACGTCATCATCATATCATAATTGCATCCTCTCCAAGTACAATAAAACTGATTTATAGACATTGTTGTAACCATTTCCTATGAATCCTCATTTTTTGGTTATCTGCCATTTATTTGTTTCCATTAAGTTTCTTAGACAATTATAAAAATATTTTGAAGGTATGTTCCAATTTTATAGTCAGAAGAAAAGGTTTTTTCTTTGATTTATTTCCATGATTAAAATAAATCTATTGCTATATGAAATAGTCTTTCGATATTTCATTTATGCGAATATAATAATGTCCAAATAATAACTTTATAAATTATCTAAAGTTACTATTTTTCAAAAAGAAATCTTAATACAATGTGCATTCTTAACGTCTACTTTTTCTGGCAGCCTCCTTTTTTACTTTATAATGAATTCATATTATAACAATAAGTCACTTATCATTTTCTGTAGCCAGAAAAATCTTCCAAAGTATTTTTAAAATTGGTATCCAAATATGTTCTGAAGACCTCGTTTCTGTTTTTTCGAAACATATCTTCATTACAAAGACACTTTGATTTTTTCTTTGTTTTTTGTTTTCATTGATTATCCATTCCTTCCTTCTTCTTGCTTCATCTCTTTATTTCCTTTTTTCCATTCCTATCCCTTCATCTGCCGCTAAATAACATTTAACCAACCCAAAATCACATAATCATGCAAAGTCATTTACAATAATTCTCACATAATTAATTAATTCGTTTTATTATTAATTTAATTGTAATTGTTAATATAAGTTTCGTAAACATAAATGCATAATGTTATATTATTATTGTAATTATAAAAAGAAGAAATTATTTAACAGAAGAAAATAAGAAGTAAAAGAACAAAAACTACAACACAAAACAATGTTTGCTATATTCGACATTCTTTCTCTCTCAACACTAGTTTTCCAAGACTCCTTGTTTATTTGAGGGAAACGTCTATGTATACTTGTTCCATTTAAAACATCATAATTTAAATTATAGTTAAACGCACCTCATCAGTTCAGGTTGCTTGGTTATTGTTTATGCTGGATTTTATTGTGCTTTACATTTTTGTAAATATTTATATTGGTATTTTATGGTTAAGGGATTATTTTCAATTAACAAAAACAATTGATTAAAAGTTAAACCTTTAGGGAATTATTTCCTATTATTTTTGTTTCATTTGTGATATTTTCAAAGTTGCCCAAGAACATTTTTCGAAATTGTGATTTTTATAAAATTGTAATTAAATAATGAAATGTTTTTATAAATAGTTGTTGTTTATTATTACCAAATTGAAATAAATACTAGCCAATTACTTTTAATTGTTGTTCTGAACCGAATAGGTTCAATTTAAATTTTAAAAACATATTGTGAAACATTTTCTGGCATTTTTTAATTTATTTAAGACTTTTAAAGCCTCCATTATTAGGTTGAATCAGTTTTTCGCTTCTATCGATGTTTATTGATGTATATATGTAAACTTGTAGCATTATAAGACATTCGAATTCGACGGATACAAAATTGTATAATGAATATCAATTTCAAATTGATATTCATTTTAATATTTTTTCGTTCCAATCTTGACATGTAACACTTAATAGTTTAACTGTTACAGAAATAAAAGAACACTGCTATAAAGTTTATCCAGGCAATACAAAACGATATCGAGTGAGTTACTATAAATCTCTCATTTTACAAGATCTGCATATAAGTCTGCAAGAAATATCACCGAATCATAAAATTCGAATTAATGTTAAGCACAATAGAACCAAAATATATATATACACGAACACATTGCCGACATTATTTTTATATGAAAAATATTGTTCCTTATACATATTTTATAAAGATTTTCAATTTAATAAAAAAAACACTCTTTCCCATATTTAAATTTTTGCACACAACACAAACTTCCTCCTCTTTCCACATAGCAAGGGGCTATTGCATATCTGAATTCTGAATTTTTCCCAAATTTAAATTTTATTCTTAATCTTTTACAAATTTCTCTTTCCATTGACGAGAAAAGATATCTAAATTTACATACAAAAGCAAATGACACATTTGGACAACATTTCACTGTGAAACAGTAAACAAAAAATGTGTTTGGTTGATTACGGTACAATGTCGTGATCTACATTTGTTTCAATTTCTCATTGACCGCATCATTGTAAAGGTCATGCGTGCTGCAACAGTGTTTGTGTTTTCATTTCATTGCATATTAAGCAATTTGTAAAATGTAAAAATAATAAAATTTAAAATAAAACAAACAGCAAAAACAAAAACAAGTACACTATTGAATTGTAAACTGCAATTGTGTGATAACAAACAATTATTGTTTGTTATTAGTTTCGTTTATTATTTTTTTTAATAATTTAACCTTAATTAAATTTAATTATTTATCTTTAGGTTACGTGTATAATTTTTAAATATAATTTCTTTTTTTTTTTGTTTTTTTCTTTCTGTTCGTTTCATTCATTTTTCTAATCATTGGAATGTGTTATAAATTATAGTATTATGTGAAATAATAATTATTATTATATAAATATAACAAAATAATAAAGACTTGCCTATTGAGTTAAGAGAAAACTTAATTAGAACTGCACGGAACTGTTCTGTAAAAACAGATTAACAAATGGAAATATTTTAATTGTTATTGTTTTCATGGTAATTATATTTCTTTGTAAAAATTGAGCGGTGAATATATAGAAACAAAAAAATGTTCATCGTAGAAATTACTACCTTCCTTATAAAACTGTTTTGATATCATAGAATTTTATTTAATGAAATCAAAACCAGAATTTGTTCATAGTATCCACTCTATTTTATAGAGTTACACAATTAATAAATCCATTTGTTAATATTAATTTCTATAATTTTTTTATTTATTCTTATAATTTTTCTTGTTGTTTTGATTAACTCAAAACAAATGATTCGATGACCAACCTATGTTGTATATGGTTTTGTAACTATTTTAATAGTTTAGGTTTAATTTATTTGTTTGTTTATTTAAGAAATTTATTTTTTACGTTTTTATTTTTAAGTTACATGTTTCATTTAATAATAATATTCTTTAGAATAACTTTATTGAAAATAATTGCTAGAATTATGCAAATCATATAAAATTGACAAACAAATCAGAAATACACTCAATAATATATACATAAATATTTTCCATATTTCGATGGTGTGTTTTTAATTTATGTAGGGCAATGTTTTTTTATTGTATTGAAAAAAGGCTGCTTTAGGCAGTTTGATTTATCCTCTTCGAATATGCTAATTTATGTTGTAAAAATAAACAGCATTTGTTAAAACCTAAATAGCTGAGATTGGTATTATAGTCGAACTTCTTCTAGTTTGAAAAATTCCACATCAAAAGATTTATTCTTGTCAGCGTTTTCACTAGTGGTTAAAAAAATTATAAGATGAAAAGTTTTAACTGTACAATATGTAGTTATTTGAGGCTCATATGAAATAGTTCAAGAAATAAAAATAATTTTGTAGAGAGACAGCAACTATATATATCAGTAGCATATTCTTTACTCACATATTTCATTTTTGTTTTTTTTTTTTTTTTTTTTTTTTTTTGTTTTTTACTTAAAGTGAAAAATTTTCCAGATTAGCTATTTTTTAATATTTTTATATGTAAATTAATGTTTTCTTTGTGATATAAAAAATATACTCTCTGTACAATAATTGTATTCTAAATAAAATATAAATTGTAAACTGTTGAACTAACCTATTTCATATTACTAATTTCATTTGTATAATGTTCGCCTCCATCACGACTTTGGTAAAATGCTTTAACTACTAACCACTAAGTATTTTACAAATCCCCCCATTGCTCATAACATCATTGCATTTTTTAATGTCTAACAGTTGGTTTTTGTTTTTATTAACATTGTCATTCATTATCATCAATTTACTTCAAATGTGTTAACCAACCAACCACCACAAAATTTAACATCATGAAAATTATCCACACTACTACAATGAATTGTATCTAATTTCTCTGTATTTGTCTTTTTTAACTTTTTTATATATTTTATATACTCTGTCTGTAACTCAAATCAAAATATCCTGTCTACCACAACCACCATCTGTCTACTTCAACACCAAATATCCTTCACACAACCAATTTGTATCCCCAAATGCAAAACAAAATAAATTATTTTGTAAAAAAAAATAATAATAACAAAACGACAAAACACAAAAAATGTGTTCCCCACTTCCTCACTTCAAAAAATATATCGAAAAAAACATATAAAAAATAATAGAAACGTATTTCGAAAATCTTAGCATCCAAATGAAAAATAATTAACAAAATAGAAAAACAACAAAAATAATTGCATGTGAAAAATACAATCAAAATAAAAAAAATACAAAACTAAAAAAACATACACAGAGACATACTCAGCATACCAACAAACAATGTTTTGCAAAATATGTACTCCTTGAAGCGACGATTAATCGAACTCAACTCACTGGATGAACTGGTATTTGTGTGTGTATTAATCAATATTAATCCCAATGTCCCCATAAAACCAAACTGAACCATCACAGCATGCATTGGCTAACAGATAAAACAGACACAACAGTTACAGTTACAGACACAGATACAAAATCAGCAACAATTAAAAAAGTTTGAAGATATATTACGCCGTATGTATGTACCAGTTTTAAAATACAAAGAAATCTATCATCAAGGCTTGGGGTTACAGTTACTACCACTACTACTCTGTATGATATAAATGTGTACTACTACCACCATCTCTGCCCAAATGCATACGAAAATAAGTCACCAAGGATATGGAATCATGCTAATAGACAAAACAATAATCCTGCAATATGCCTTATATGTGGTTATGGATCTCAACTAATTATCTAAGTATCTGGCTAAAATGTATCAAGGAAGAAGGATGTTGGCTGATTGGATGACTGCTGGAGTATATATTTGTGTGTGTGTGTTTATATAAGGATGTAATAATAATTTATGAAGCTGAGCTAACAATATTCATCATGGCAAAATGAAAAGAAACGGTGAAATGAAAAATGAAAATCTCAATAAAGCAACAGCATTGCCTTCATCATAAAAATAATCATCTTCATCACAATCATCATCGTCGTCTTCGCTTCATTGCCGTCGTTGCCCAAGAATTGTTATTGTTTTTACAAAAAAAAAAAAAAATTCTCTCAATAAATTTTGCCACGAGAAATAACAAATATCTTACTCCTCTTCCCATCGCGGTAGAGTGTGAATGAAATGAAAATCGTACGATTTGGCAGTTTATATCCGTAAGTTTTTGTTTCATTTCTTTTTTCCCCTTTTATTAGTTTAATTTAGTTTTAGTCAGTAGTCTTAGAGTTTAGTTAGAGCACCAACAACAATAAGCTAAGACACTAATTGACAACAAATGAACCAAAAAAAACGGTTTATCCGCTCTTTTTGTAATACTCCAAAAACGTTTTTCCTCTTAACAAAATATCTTCTAAGTTATGGGTAAGTGAAAAAGTTAATAGAAATTTAAAAAAGGTTCCCTTTAATCCTAAATCATTCCGTACCTACAATATAATAATCTAATCTTAACAAAATCGGTATAGGTTGTCATATAGAAAATTAATTGCGGATATGAAATTCATTAAACGTGTTTAGGAACTTCTTTCGTTTTAAAATTTTGAAAAGGTCACGAGTGTTCAATTCTAGAACAGCTTAAACATTCAAAATAGGTCTGCAATTAATATCCAAAAAATGCGAATGGATTATGTTATTTCCTTATAAGTTTAGAAACGGATCCATGATTATTTATACATTCCAGATCCTACATGAATCTACCACATTTACATTTTCTGTAACTTTTTACAAGTAAATTCAAAACGTTAGTAGCAATTGTTACTAGAAGAGACAAATTTGTGTCTCTCTTTGACAAGATTTTACTACTTTCACGTTCTCGTGCAATTTGCATCTTCATGAGCAATTAACACTGCTCTTTAACTAGTATCAATATGGGAAAAGTCTAGAGCAGAACAATTGTATCCACCATAAAAATATTGAAATTGGTTTTTGTGAACATATTTTTTTATAGTTATTGCATGTGAAGGCAATATATCTTAATATTTTTTCTTTACGAAAAAATTTTGAACTTAAATAAAAATAGTATATAATCCCCTTCAGTTTCACACCTTTCTGTGTTTATTATCCTTATATACATTTCGGATTTTCAAAATCTATTGTAAATTATATAATTTTGATTCGCTACGTAAAAATGGTAGACTGTATTTATACGGAACATTATGAGTTATTTTCAAAGTCATACCATTTCTTTAAAAAAAAAACTTGGTAAACTAATCCCTCTTATCCTTGTTGTCTAACATAATAAGAATGTAGCTAAACCTTTAAAAACAATTGTAAATATTTTTAGTAACCGTAACCTAATTTAAGTGTAAAAATTAAGTTTTTGTTTTTTAATTTCCATTTAATTTTAAGTAATAATTCAAAAACAATTCCTTTATGAAATTCTAATAATTTATTTTATTTATTTCTTTTTCATATTTTCTTTTCTTTATTTTGCTTTGTATGATGATGATGCTTCTTCTTCTTCCTGTGCTCCCCAAACTTCTGTCTTTTCATTTGATTCACTTACCGACCTCGGCAATGACAGAATTTTTCGTATGATAAAAATTATGGTTATATAAAGGAACTCAAATCGGCCTTAAATCAATATTTTGAAGAAGATCTGGTAAAAGATACGACAGAGACACAGACACCTGTACCAAAGAAACCTGTACAACGTTCAATGTCCAATAAGGTAACCTTGAGTCAATATTTCGAAAAGGAATTATTAGAGGAAACCTCAGCATCGGAACGAAATCGCAATAATTCACTTTTGATGTACGAAGATGAGGATGTTGTGCCGCCAATGTCATTGGAAAATGAGGAGGAAATCGATATTTATACTTCATATGCCTCATACATGAGTTCTTCGGATCCAGGCAGTGATAATATTTTGGTCACCATCGATTATGGTTCCATGGATATGGATGAAGACTTGTCTGTCGATAGTCTGGGTATTGTCGAAGAAGAAGAACCAGAGGAGAACCTCAAGAAAATGGATTATTTACAAGTGCCAAGCAGAAATGTACGCATGTCAAAAATCAAAGAAGAACGTAGCAAAGAATCCCTTCTCAAATCTTCGGAATCTCTGTTACGGCGCGTCTTAAATCCTTTCCAAGTTCATCATGTTCAGCATACAGATACAGGAACAGCAACAAATAGTGCCATATCGTCGATGAATTCACTGCGTGAATATAATGTCGATACATCCGGTGATTATGGTTCGTGGCAGCAACAGCCCGAATCAGATTATGGTGATACAGGAACACCGCGTGAATATCGTTACGAAGATCTAATTAAAAATGAATCCATTAATGAGGACAATAATTATTATGACGGCGATGGTGGGGATGATATTGGTGGTGTTATAATAAATCGTGTTGAGGAAGACGATGTTGATGATGATGATTTGGTAAATTTCAGTTATGATGTTGCCCTATCGGCTCGCTGGTCCAGTGACAATGATAATCGTTACTATAGAAGTGTTGATTATTTAAATTAATTGTAATTCTAATTCTAATATTAATATTTTTTCTTTTTAGAAATAATTCTAATGTCATTTAACATTTTTTTGTAATTTAGATAAATAGTTTTGTAATTTTCATTCGAACTCTTAAAATGTATGTTAATCTTGTAATAGATGTATAAGACGTCACTTCGTTAAAATTATTTGAATTGTCCAAATTTAAACGCCACTTTTAACAAATCTATGGTACTTGTATTCAACGTAAAATATTTGTTATGTAATTTTCAAATTCGTATTCTGTTAATATATGGATCGGAGTTCCGAGTACATATATTATACATATTTCATGATCTGAATTATTCTGATAATTTTTATTTAAATTATTTTTTGTGAATCGCAAGTCTATATAAAACTAATGAAAATTGTGTTTACGTCTTATAGATCTAACATGTGTAGACTCATTGTCATATTTGTTGTCAAAATTTGTCCCAGTACATTTGAAAACCAAAAATTGTTATTTTGCCAATTTCATAGATTTTTATATTTAGTTTGATTTAATTTCTAATTACATCTTGTAGCTCAGTTTCAATTTTAGATGTATATATATATTCCAATTCTTACCAGTATAACTGATATAAATTCAAAAAAATCCAAATAATAGCTCAAACAATGACAATTACTAATCTACATTTTCTTGTTGGCATTGATTCTGCACAAAGCTAGACTATATATTATATTGACTTTTTAACACTTTCATTTGTATAAATTATTTGTTAATAACTTCATTCGTATAATATCCCAAAATTAAAAAAAAACATAAATATTTATTAAATTTGTATGTAATTGTATTTAAATTTATTTTTTGCCTTTCTTAATTACAAAAAATATATTTAAAATAATTAACACTTCATTATATTGCTTAATGCTCAGGTTTATAACAAAACATATATTATTTATATACTGCTACGGTTCAAAAGAAAAAAAAACTAAAACAAACAAAATGACAAGCAATTTCTATAATCATTTTTTGTAAATTAGTAACTAATACAACTAGTCTTTAAAATTCATTTAAAAATTTCATATTTAAATCCAGCAAAACAGACACAAACTTACATAAATAACCACAAAAATTATTTGGCTTAAATTTAATAACACAAACTGCTTCAAAAAAAACACTAGCAAAAAAGAAAATACATAATGGTTAAAAAAAGAAAAAATTAACATAAATTAAGATCAAATTCAAAAGACAATTAATATGTAACATGTCATCTGTTCTCGGATATAATTGATTTATTTTTTTTTAATATGTTACCTTGTGTATTTAGTCCTTGTTTTCCAGTCTATATTGTATTTAAACGTAAGACTAAGACACTTTGTTAGAGAACATAAATAATATATCCTAATTATTTCTTATTAATTTCAATTTATACTATTATTCTTATTTTGTTCGTTCTATTCATGATAGCCTGCAATTTCGTTTAGCATTTAATGCTGTTCTCTATAAGTAATGATAATTAACAAACTGATAATCACACCATCATTATTATTATTTTTTTCATTTGTTTTTGTGTAAATTACATTTTGTATTTTTTTCTATATCGCATTAATTTTTCACAATTCTGCTGTAATTTAAATTAGCTTTATTCAACAACAACAACTATAATTACTTCACTATCATTATGAAATAATTTAAAAAATATATATAAATAGTTTAGTATTCCTATTTAGATTTTTTTATTAGAATTTTGTAATTTTTTGGTAGAAAGTGTTTTTATTGTATAACTCTTAAAATAGTCTTATATATTATATAATTTTTTTTTTACTACTCCATGTGTCTGCTGTGTTTTTTTTAACTATGTCCTCTACCTTATATAAAGCCCAATATACTGGTATTATTTTTTATGAAATATGTATATAAATATTTAATACACTTATCTGTGTATTTATGTTAATTTTCGATCATTGATTTACTACATTTAATAAACAAATAAATACAACAAAACAAGAAGAAGAAATATAATTAACTATTATTATTACTATTATTAAAGATAGCAATAGAAATTATGTAATGGAAATCATTAATAAACATTATTAAAAAAGACGAAAAAACTATTATTGAAAATTTAAAAATAAAATATTGTTGTTTTGTTTATTTTGGAATATAAGTTTGTGTAAGTATGTAAGTGTGATAATACATAGTGACTAAGGGTGAATGAATTTAATGTGAGGTTTCAGAAAAAAATAATTTTTTATCGACACATTTGTTGTAAACAACAAATAACTATAGTTATAAATTTCAATAAATGAAAGAAATAGTTTTGGGAGACTTCTTTAGTATAGGAGGTGATGCAAATGTGGTATACCCATTTGTTTTTAGATTGCCAAATTTTTATTTTTTATCCGATCAAATTGAAATTTTACACTTAACAAGCTACATGTGTTGTCTTTCCATGTATCAATTTGAATATAATGTTATTCTAACAATTTTGAATTTGAAATTCCATTAAAAGTGATTAAAAAAAAAACTGTAGGTAATTTGGTATACCACATGATGTTAATGTGGTATAGTATAATTTTCACTTCCAGTTGATATCTTACATAATTTATTGTTTTTAATGAATGTGAATTAGCTCGAGATTTATGTCTGCTAAGATTTTTAACGGATACGTTGAGTGGAACTTTAATTTTTATTATATAATAATGTCTACACATGTCAATATTTAATTTTTGTACGGAAAAGTAGTTAAAATCCCATAACCTTTGTTTTTCATCCTTATGATGCATGGTAGGCGCTCGTAGAGGACAAATGTTTCAAATAGTAATGAAATTTTGTCTTGTGGCGGCTTTTTTTCATACAGACTCCAGGTATACCACATTACCTGCACTTGTGTTCACTGAATAATTGTCTAGTTTTTTTCCTAAATTGGTAAATATGTGGTGCAATCGCGCATATTATTTGATTTTTAGTACTTACTGATTATTTTAATGCTTTCATAATAAAGATTAAAATAAATCTGTAAAACAAAAAATTATTTTTAAACTTCAACCGAAAAAAGTCAATTTCATGAAAAATTTAATTTTTGCTACTGATTCTCAACGTGAGTTAAATAAATTTAACAGATCATTGCTATCTTATTTTTTTGAGAACAGCAAACTATAAAACATGTTTCAGTTATTCTAAACTTTTCAGTTTACAAAAAAAGTGACTATACCGCATTACCAACCTATACCACATTTGCATCACTTCCTATATATATTTCAAAAAATATTTTTGTTGTTTGTTTGCCAATATATATATATATATATACATATATAAACCAACATACGTCCTTATATGCTGATATGTACAATACCCTGCCGATAGAATAAACGTAGCATCGATAGGAGATCCCTGACTTGAAGACAAAATTAAATATGTGATATATATAGATATTTGAATCTATTTTAATCATTCAATAGACATGCCATTCTTAAATCTATGCAAAATTTGTGTGAAACCGAACAAAAATATTTATAAAGGCTATCAGTCTTATTCTGGACATCAATTCACCGTGAATTTGTTCGCTCTTTCCTTAAAAGTTATTCTGAACCAGAACTCGCGGCGAATTTTTTTCTCATTTTCTCTTCCCCTTATTCTGAATCAAATTCGAAAGCGAAAAAAATCAGCTTAAGGAAAAATTAGTTATTCTGTATAATAGGGAGTGGGAGAATATGATGACATTTTGTGCGAAATTTTTCGCTAATAAATTTTCATATATTTTAATATGCATATTTTTAACTCAAAAACATTGGAAATTCTATTGATAACGACGCATGCTCAACCAAATGTTGCCACGGAATGTACAAAGGCAATATGGAATATTTATGCCAAGTTTGATGCAATTTAGAGGGGAAATAAAGACATTTTGTGTGAGGATCTGTTCCAGAAAAGTACTAAAAATTATGGAAAAACCGCATAGCCAAATTTTGCCTGACTAGCTACTTAACAGTGAACAGCGCAAATAAAATTTATGAAAGAACAAAAATAAAGCTAAAAAAATATTTTTTCTTTCAAATTTATCGTATGCTAGATTTGACAAGGTAATGGTCCGAATCGATATTCTCCCCTTCGGATCGATCGAACGTCTAAAACACTGGATAAATGCCTTCCGTCTATCACAACATTATTAATTTGATTTCTCGTGGCTTGATCATGAGAAATTCAGGTAGCCGTGTGTATATCGAGATGATTGAATCTGGTTTCTAGGCGCTCTTAAAATATATCTGTGTAAAATATATACTGGAGTGAATATGGAGACGAGGTTTTTTTTGTCTCCTATTAACCATAAATCCGCAGACAAATTCATGTCTCGTATCATGGCAACTATAATACAGTGCGCACTCATCGGATTTACTTACGCCAGTCCCTTTCCATTGCATTTTCTGTAAGGCAATAATTTCGGCATTGTACTTCTTGAGTACATCCGCCAAAGCGAAAACTGCGTCTTTTCTGTACAACGTGTGCAGATTCGTAAATCGTGGTCCTTTTTACGTTTGTAGGCGTCGTCAACATTGCAAATTTCGAGTGTGGTCAACAAACCCGACCTCAACCCATTTTTTTATAGTTCGCGGCACATATCAACTCACTATTTCAACGGATGATGAAAGTAGCTACCCCAGGTGACACCGAGGGGAGGTCAGTCAGATTAGCCTGGACTTTGTCATGTTAAAGGTAGTCAGAGTCGTTGCTTGATATCTTTCATCCCCCACGTCACCTACTAAATACAGTACGGTATTGCAAATTTCGTCGTAATTGGACAAACATTGGGAGTTTAGTCACAATTTACATAAAATTAGACAAATATGGGACCTATATATATATATATATATCTTAATATTAAAACGGGCCATCATATATGTGGTAGCATTATCTAAATCTGAACCGATTTTCACGAAACTTAGCACACATCATTTTGTGCAAATTTAAAGAAATATAGTCGGCTGAAGAATAATAAAGCAGTAAGTGCCCATGGGTTACCAGTAGGTGCCGATGGGAC